ATATATATATATATATATGTGTGTGTGTGTGTGTGTGTGTGTGTGTGTGTGTGTGTGTGTGTGTAAAAAAAACTTACAATTAAAATTTAGAATAATTTGCATTGTAAGAAATTTTGTCGTCCAGTTACCCCATTTCCTATATTTATATATATATGTGTGAGTGTGTGTGTCTATGTATGTATGTGTGTGCGTGCTCGCAAAAAGAAATGTATACACACTTCAAGAAATACTAAATTTATTCAGACATCACAAAATGGTGGCCTTTACCTTCTAGACATTTAATATTACGGCCAACTACTGCTTGAGCAACGTTTGCCAAAGTGTCAAGTGGGATCGCTATACATGCATTTTCAATTTCTTGTCTAAGCTCCGGCATTGGAATCAGAGTTTCCCGCTATGCACAACATACTTTAGGACTTGTTGATGCTAAAGCAATGAGGGTTAATGTCATCTGTCAAGAAAATATCTTACTACAGTAAACAGTGTTATCGCAATTTGATAAAAACTATGAAAGACATGTTTTTCCTTTCTTGGAGTGCGTATATATTTTTGGCGGACTCTGTATATATGTTTCAAATAAAATGATTGACAAGTCACTGCGATTAAACATTTTATTATATTTTTCTTTAGACAGAGTGTGTAAGAATTGTTCAAATAATCTTTTATCCGAGCGTTTTCGGCTAATCTACTCACCATTGTCAAATAAGCCTTTCTACGTTTTCAAGAAGAATATTATAAAAAAGCTTAATCGCAATGCATTGTCAGTTGTCTTCAGTGAAACCTGTATAAAAGAGGGACTGCTGCCCAACCATACAATTTATATAAAAAATTATATATCGTTATCCAATATATATATATATATATATATATATATATATATATATATATATATATATATATTAAGGTGTGCTATATTTATGGGATAAAGTGCTCAATACCAGAGATAGAGCGTGTGTAAATATAAAAGTGAACATTGAAGTCGACACTTACAGGTGACAGGCTGTCTCTTGCTAGACGCAATCGTATCCTATATATATATTTATATAAATATAAAAGTGAACATAGAAGTCAACATGCTAGATGCAATCGTCGGGCCTGACGATTGCATCTAGCATGAAACAGACTGTCGCCTCTAAGTGTTGACTTCTATGTTCACTTTTATATTTACACACGCTCTATCTCTGATATTGAGCACTTTATCACATAAATATAGCACATCTTAAGACTATATTTCTTCATATATATATATATATATATATATATATATATATATATATATGGATAACGATATATAATTTTTTATATGTCAAAAAAATTATTTTAAGGAAAAGAATATGACAAAGTGGAAAAAGTTTATGCACGACGCGTTTCGTCTTTTAGGACTTCATATCACTACATGAAAAATGTACTTCGAAAAGGTTACCCTATCTCGACGAAGTTACCATCTGGAACAGATGTCTTCAATTTTGACAAACTCTCACGACTTTATGAAAACCATTCGTATTTTTTTTTTAAGCGTTTCACCCCAAGCAAGGCGGGAAGCCACTAGGACGCAAGGGGTTACAGAAAATTTGGAGCAAGATCAGATAGCAGTGATAGAAGAAAGGATGAGGAGAAGGGTAGTGGATAGATCAAGACAACTGGAGATGTCGATTGACATTACATTTGAATAGCTGGAGATTATAGCTCTCAGGGAAAATGGAATAGGGAAGGGAGTTCCACAGGCGAGAGTTGCGAGACATGAAGCTATTGGAGTAGAAGAGGCGGCTAGATTTAGGAGTTTTGACAGTGAAGGGGTGAGAGCGGGATGCCAACCTCGTAGGGCGCTTGAACTCATGAAGTCTGAGAACTAGCGAATGCAGCTCCTCGGAGCAATTGCCATGAAAGTATTTGTAAATCAGACAGAGAGAGGCGCCAGCGCGTCTTTGAGAGAGTGACTGTAGACGAGATGCCAGATCAGGGCCAATTATATTGCATATCCGTCTCTGGAGCCTATCAAGAACCTATTATAAGAATTTAGATATACTACTACTACTACTAATAGCAGTAGTAGTAGTTGTTGTTTCTTCCTCGTCATCTATCATCCCGAATCATCTATTTCTTTTCTCAGCTGCAGCAGACTTTTTTACATGCTAAGATGGTTAAACTTTTCACCCACTGACTGACCTCATTTTATCTCTTCCTCAGCAGCCTGGGTGTGGTCTACCTCTTTCTGTGCAATGTCCTTTCTGCTTTTACAGTCAAAATGTTTCTTCCTCTTATATAGCAAAGAAGTCGTTCAAAACCGATTCATAAATCAATTCTGGGTCGTGGGCTGGAGAGCCTTGTGTGAGGCGATACCGATTTTAAAATAAATAAATAAAAATGTATATAATAAATGCGAATGTGCGAGACATGAAGCTATATAAGATGTTACTGTGTCACACTTTTTCAACTTTACTCCTAGAAACTGTAGCCCAACATATTATACCATTTTGGAATCAGGCCGACTCCGTGGGCAAATTAAAAACATTACGGGCCAGATCCAGACCTGCAATCCTGAAATTTGGGATTCCTATATTTTTCATTACTATTTTTGGATTCCATCATATTGGCTTTAACTTATGAAAAAAATAAAGGGACACAACTCTCTAACTTTCAATAGCTCATGTTCAAATGAAAAAATTGTTGTTCCCAAATTACAGTGTTTCAAAATAAAAATGTCTGTGTTTCCAACTTTACACCTAGAGGCCGTAGCCCTACATATCATACCATTTTTGGAATCAAGCCGACTCCGTGAGCAGATTAAAAGCATTCTGTCCGGATCTGAACCCGCAATCCTGAAATTTTCGATTTCCAACTTTTCATTACTGCGATTGTTTTCGGCGATTTTTTACGTGATTTTTTGCGACGAATTTTTTTTTTTTTTTTTTTTTTTTTTTTTTGTACGATAACAATTTTTATAACTTAGAAATAAATTTGGGAATAATCGAAATTAATTGCGATATCCAGCAAAAGTCACCCATGAATGAAAAATAATTGTTTGTACGGAAAGCAAGGACCTACGTACATCACACTGTCTTTAAATTAAGTGGCGGCAGAAGAATTATCGTTGAACTCTTAAAAGGTAAGCTTAAATATTAATGCAATAATTAAATGCAGAAATCAATTTTGAGTTCTTCTATAGTTTATTGATGCTTATCGCATCTACTCCTCCCTAACTATTGTGATGAAGGCCCAATCAAGAGCTTTTTTAGTATATATATATATATATATATATATATATGTGTGTGTGTGTGTGTGTGTGTGTGTGTGTGTGTGTGTGTGTGTGTGTGTGTGTGTGTTGGTAAGATGTATAATAATATCGGAAACAATAGTGAAAAACGATGAGACAAAGTTCAACTCAAGTTGAACTGATGAAGCCAAAGAGAACATAAGCTTATCTCCGGCGAATCGCATCTTTGATTTAAAATTTTCCACTCTGTCTCATCGTCTTCATATATATATATATATATATATATATATATATATATATATATATATATATATAAATTAATAAAAATAAAAGGTTTTTACTTAGCTGATTGGTGTTACCTTCAGCATTCCAACTCCAGTTTCATAGACGGAATCTCCAGTCATCACTTCCACCTGTCAAGAGGTAAACAATTTAGTTTTATTTAAGCAATTTCTTTTTCAAATATACAGTGTTGGTAAATTTTTAATTCTTATAACTAGTTTATACAATATTATTGATGATCAATTCGTTTTCTACGGCTTAACAAGCTTTTGCAAGTTATTTAAAGCCAGAAAATATTTTATTTTTTATTTTTGAGATAATAATGGTTTACTGATTCGAGGCTTACTAATTAAGCCGTAGCTGGGGGTGACAAGGTGGATTCATACGTTTCCAAGGATATTTTGCATGTAAATGAATATTAACGAACTGAACGAGAATTGGAAGTCGGCATTCCGATTAACAATTCCGAGCTATTAACCATTACACTGTAGAGAACAAAACAAGATCTAGATTTAAAATTCAAATGCTAAGCATTGATTTTGTTAGAAATTAAAAAGACTCGAATTTACAAACTTTGCTTAACACACATGCAAAAGCGATTCTAAAACAAAACACGTAAAATTTCATACTTTGATGAAAAAAAATTCAAATAATCTTCAATTCTCAGAAACAAATTCTTTTACGGACCTTTTCGCGAGCCAACGCGAAGTTTGTTCGTCGTCCAATGGAAAGGCCCGAATCATATCCGGGAGTGAATTCCCAAATGACCAAATGAGCCCCATAAACAAAATAAAAGACGGGCAAGTTCGCCTGTCAACAGAGAGAAAGAAGACGAGCGTATTAACACGTACCTTGACAAACGTCAAGCTATCGTTATTATTATCTCTACCTTTCTCCCTCACCACTTTTATACTTGATAAACGAGCGGAACATTTTAAGACTGAGCGATTACTTCAAAGACATTCCTACCCTACGATAACGCTCATACATACATACATACGTTCCTGTCTACTACGAACATTTTGACGACATTGTATCAACCAAAATACATTAATTTTATTTGTAAAGACCTAAATTGATTTATATGTATATAAATTTGTTGTTTCACTTTACAATTTGATTTTCTTGTTTTATACCCCTCTTATGGCGGGCTATCTAACTAACAAGGCCAAATCAAACTAATCTGTTTCAACACTCATACACTTCACTATAACTGATAACCAACTATAACATTACCTACACATCCAATATTACAGCGCCTGGTATTCCCAGACTGTCAAGCATCTAAGTATTGATCAAGCTCGATATTACTTAACTTCGGTGATAGTATGAAAATTAGTGTTTCAACGTGATATGGCTATAAGCCTACAATATTATCTTTTTCACTAAAAATACTTTCTATATTCCTTTTTACGCAATTTCAATATTTTAATTATTTTTTTTTCATTATACAAATTTAATATTATTCTTTTTGTTAAAAAATAATTTTTATATACCCATTTTCATGTCAGACATTGCCCAGTCACTATCTGTCAAGTAAAGTCAAGTATCATACATGATACACGCTTGGGCGATCATGTTCCTTTCGATTCACGACTGACGAGGCAGAATATTTCCGACAGTAGGCTGCCTTTTCTTTCTGCTGTAGACTGGTTGCCAGCCAAGGATATAGAGCCCAGTCTGTCCTGCAACCCATAGCTGGGGTAGGGGAAGACGAAGTGATGGATTCATGCCTTTCCCTAGTGTATTTTTGCGAATAAGTGAAAATAACGAACCCGACCGAAATTCGAACTCAAGATTTCCCATCCCAAGCCGTCATCCATTACAGTGTACATCACACCGTACCGTACATAAGACAAAAGAAGAATAATATAGGTTAGGAAAGATTCAACCGCTATACCGTGAACGATTATAAATAGAAGGCATTATTTTCGATTAAAAGCAACACTTGTAAAGAGGAATTCATTTACAAGTTGTATATAGCAATAAATTATTTTAATACAGATTTTATTTTATCTGTCATGTATTGTAAAACTACAACTCCTGCCTGTAGTAATCGATGTATTTTAAATCTCAAAGGTTACCTTCTAATTTGGGTTGTAAGGTTTTTACACACTCCAGTTGCGACCCTGGTCGTATCAGCAAGATAAAAAAAAATTTTAAATAATTTTAAAGATAAATTTAAAACATATTGATAATTTGTAGCACTCAAAAGCTACCATAGTTTCTGAATGCAACCTACTGATACTTGAAAACATTTAATTTTTATCATTCACAAAATTCTTTCCATCTTATATTCACTCTCCTTAAACACGAAATGTGAATAAAGAAAGATTGACATCAAACAGTTGCTGTATTGAAGTTGCAATTTTTAAATCCCCGCCAAAATGACAGAAAACCGGTGACTGTCCCCTGTTTTAAAAAGAATCTTAAATCTAACGTATGTTCTTTTGAACACTGTTGATAAATATATAATTAACTATGTAATTAGTTGACTAATTACTAAATAAATGTGAGCTGGAAGATATTCTAACATTCGTTGAGTTGATGATGATTCATATTTTATTTTTAATTTTCAGTCAGTTCGGCCCACTTCATCCGGTCAACACGTAAGCATGAGTCACCAGAAAACAATTCATTTTTCTTTCTGTATGGATTACATTTTTTAAATATAAACATTGCATCAATTCCTGCTGAATTAGGTATTTCTTTATTTATCTGGTTTTTCTATTTATTTTTAATATTTTGTGTGTTTATTTTTATTTATTTGTTGTAATTTTGTTTCGTGAATTGATTTTTGTTTTTTTCTTGGTTCGTCTTCTTTGTCAGGATTCTTCCTTCATTTCACTTATTTTATTTTTAAACCTTAAAAAAAAACATCGTAGATTTAATTTAAAATTTAATCTTTTTTTTTCTTAACCTTTATCTTCATTATTTATTATTACATTTTGAAACCGTTTTAATATTTTTATGACTTCGACAAAAAGAAAATTAAAAACAATAATTCAAAAATATTTTAGAAATTAAATTAAATTCTCTACATTTTTCAATCAATTTAGATATTTTTTGTTTTATAAAAAAAAATTAAAGTTAAGTTTTATTTTTTTATTCAAATTTAAATCATTGAATTTTAAAAATGCTTTTGTTTTTAAATTTTATCTTTTCTTTCAAATGTTTCATTTTTAGTTTTTAAAATTGTTTGGAACGAAAGTAAAATTCCAACGAAAAGTCGTTTTTTTTTATTATTACAAAAAAATAATTATTTAAATTAAACTGAAATAAAAACAAAAAAAAAGACATCCTTTCCAATTTTTTTTCTCTAATTTTGCTAAATTATTTTCAAGACAAACTTTTCGTTTTTAAAATTTTTGAACAATTTTTCTTTTTCTTCTCAGTCGTTTATTTCCAAAATTGATTCCATAAAAAAATTACTTTTAAGAAGAAATTCTGAATATAAATTGTTTTTACTAAAATCTGAAAATTCAATATTTGTTCTTGAATAAATCTTAATTTGAAAAACACAAAATTAAAAGAGAAAAAAGTCGACGAATCTAACAATTTTTAGTTTAAAAAGAAAAAAAAAGTTATATATCCGAAACAATTTTAATTTCTAAATAAAACGAAAAATACATTTTCAAATGTAATTTATTTCAACTTTTCTTTTTATTTTATATAATATTTATTTCTAAGAGTATTTATTGCATTTTGAACGTTAATTTTCGTTTTATTCTAAAAATTCATGACTTTTTCAATTTCACAATATGAGTCTACTTAAAAAAAAATCATAAAAAGGTTTTTACATTTATTTTTACGAGAAGCCAAGAAACGAATGTTTATGTTAAATTCGTATGGAACTCTAAAGTTAACAATATCCGATATTTTGTCTGAAAACTGAAATACTTGAATGTTTTTGTTTTTTTCATTTTTCATCTCGCCGTAGAGCAGTGGTTAGCAAATTCACCTTAGAGACTAAAAAATTGACTTCAATCCTCACTGGGTGACACATACACCCTTTTTTGTTTAGAACTACTAAGTCTTAAAAACTTAAATCCATTTACAGTTTATTTACAATAAATTAATTTATTAGCCGTTTTGCTTTTAAACATTTTTTTTCTTTGTCGTTTCGGTTTACGAAACAAAAAAAACTCGATATTTTTTTTTTCTAAACATTACAAATCAAACATCAATTTATTTATTTATTTTTATTGCAATGTCAATTTTGGTTCCACAATTTAAAAAAAATGATCTGTTTATAGTACAACACCAAAAAAGTGTTTGTTTTTTCTTGGGGGGGGGTATGTTTATATTTTAATTACGTCGTAATGGGATTTTGCAAAACTTCTATAAAAAAATTTTGTTACATCCCAAAATGGGCAGAACTAAGTAAGTTTTGCATCCTTAGATGGAATTCAGTTCAATAGCAAAACTGCATTTTTGTTTTTCTTTCTCTTCAAGACTCTACTAGAAACTTAGTGTTTGTTCTTTCTTAAATTTCTTACTTTGATAACAAGACGGACGAGGCGGCAGGGGTCATAAAAAGTTAAACTTGTTGACTTGTCCAATATTTCCGTGGCTCAAGATGTGTTTAAAAAAAATGCATCTTGTTGACTTTTTTTTTTTTTTTAACCCATTACAACTGACGTGTTTATAAGATGAGCCACTTCTGTTTTTCTTCTATGTGTCGTGTCTCTTCAGGACGTGGGCGATCATAACTCTCCACCACAATTCCCTGTCCTTTATAACTCTAAAAATAAATTTTGTCTTTTCATTACCTCTCCTTGTCTCTGTTCTGTCAACCAAGATTAAGAAGAAGCTTGTTAGGGTTGTTATTTTCCTCATCTTCAATGTCCTTTCTTTGAGCATCAAATTTTCTAAACTTTCTTTCCTCATTATATGCCCTAGAAATTTCAACCGTCTCTTGCTGATATCAAAGTATAAGTACTTTTTTAGTTTCTATTTTACCTAAGACTTCACCATTGTTCACATGTTCAGTCCATGGTATTTTCAGCATCCTTTTTTTGTAGAACTACATTTCTGTTACCTTTTCGTCATCTGTGATTAAATTGTCCAGCATTCAGTGCCATGTAGGAGAATCAATATTGCATACCAGTTCAAATTACTTTGTTTCAAACAATTTTTCTTTTTCTTAATACTTTGCTTAGCTTTTGGAAGGCAACTTTCACTGTCCCAATGCACCTTCCAATATTTCAGTGTTATATTTTCTGTACTCTGTTAAAACGCTTCCTCGATATTTAAATTTTTGTAATTTGCATGTTGGGCTGTTCCTTTTGTTGACAACCATACATTCTGTTTTTTTTTTTTTTTTTTTTTTTTTAGAATTGAGGTTTGATACTTTCTTCTCTCTTTCCTTTACGGCAAACTTGTTTTTATCACCAAAATTTAAGGATTTTTATTATCTTCCCAACTCATCACTGATCCTTACAGACATTTTTCATTTAAGACATCCATTCCAATGTTAAATCATATTTAATGTTTTTGCAACACATAACAAGGCTTACGGCCACATCCCATTGAAACTCTGGTTCCCATATGATCACCTAAGTTAAGCAACGTCGAACCTGGTTAATATCTAGATGGGTGACCACTTGGGAATACCAGGCATTCTAAGCTTGGATGTGTGGGTGGTGTAATGGGTCAGAATTGTTAATTGGAGTGCTGAATTCCAATTCCAGTTGGGTTTGTTGTATTCACTTGCACACAAATATCCTTGGGAAAGGCATGAATCCCCCCCACCCCCAAAAAACTATGGGGTTAATTAGTAAGGCTTGTATCACTAAATTGTTATCTTCCAAAAAAAAAAAATTCTTACAATCTAAAAATATTTTATGGCTTTAAATAACCTGCAAAGAGTTAAGCCATAGAAAACGAATCAATTAATCAATCAAGATATAACAAATATTATTATTTATTAAACTGAAAGTTCCAAATCATGGATAGGCTTCTTTTTTCTTTTTTTTCTTTTTTTAATATCATATCTATTCAAAAACTCGGTGGTTTTAGCTCTCTACTGCTTCCTATGTTTTTAGTATCTGCAAATTACCATAAATTCTTCAGAGATAATGGAAAAATCCCTGATAACTTTTCCATGGTTTTGAATTCAGTTTTCCTTCTCCTAAACTAGTTGCCTTACTAATGATAAAGAGTATAGTCTATTCTACTATTTTATATTTTACCTCTTGCTTGGAAAAGTACAGACAAATTCCTATCCAAGGCAACAGCCCTGACTGGAATTTGAACCCTGTCTGTTAATTTCATTTTCCATACCAATAGCCATTCCACCATCTGCACATCCATGGGCAGTCTACAGAATCCATTAGCCTCATAGAAATTCAAAATTGTAAATACTTTTTTGAATGCTATTAGAGACATATCATTAAAAAGTAAATGGAAATCTTTAACTGTTGTAGCTGTAAAAAAAAAAAAAAAAAAAAAAAAGTTGTTTGTTTTGTTTTATGGCATATCAACATCTCAGTGGGTCATTTAATGGCAACAAAATTTTTTAAATAGATTCATTGCAATGGTTTGGTAAAAAAAGGTGTGTATGTATACATATATATTTTAACCATTTTTCAATTACTCATATTTTTGAGTACAATCACATGTATTGCTGGTAATATTTTTTTCAAAAATATATTGCTGGTAATAATTTATTTCTGGTAATAATTTTTTACAAAGTATTTCTGGTATTAACCTATTTTTAGACTTTTATAATGCTTTTTACCTCAGTTTTGGGGTTAAGTATTTGCCCATAGCTGGGACCCTAACAGGTGCTACCACCCCGGGTCAGGATGAGCCTGGGAACACTAGCATTATTAAGAGGTGGTTCCACGCTCCTCAAAAACCTCCTTATCAGAGGCCATGCTTTTGGGCATAGTTTATCATCTTACCCTGGATGCAGATGTAGTTTATCATACCCAGGACACCCCATTGGTGGGGTCTTACCCCTCTGCAGAGGTGCAGTCAGCGTATTTGTTATACCATAATACCTATTCTATTGTAATAGACTCTCCCACAGATAAGTAGTAGTAGCAATGGCCAGTTGGGCTCAGTGGTGTTGAGCAAGTCAGTCGATGTCGGACATTGAAGTATCAACCATCACAACTAGATTGCTGTGTCATTAACTCTTATTTCAAGTTCCTAACGTTTTGTACGTCGAACCTAATTTAGGACGACTTATTGAAATACAAGCCTCCACTGTGAAAACTACTCTACAACAGTATTCTACAGCCCCAGCTGACAGGGCAGAAAAAAAAGTGTGGCAAAAGGACTGTTTTTCCTTTGACACCACTATTATTTTGTACTATCTTCAATGCCTCAGTAATGTTTGTTTTTAAAAAGTAATGATTAGAATTGTAATAAAACCTAAACAGGATGAAAGTGAATTTATACATTTTTTTGTTCGTGAGAATTTACAGCAAAAATATTAAATACTATTAGATTGTTTATTTACAGAAATAATTTTATATTTACAGCATCCTAAAAGATAATAATAGTTGTTTTAAAACTAATGCAATGTTCATCATTTACCATTTAATAAAGAAATACATATAGAAATAATATTTTATTCATAAATTTATAAATATTTACTAAATTATTAAAATGGGTGAACCAACCACAAAGAAATCCTTATTATTTGCCATTTTATAAAGTTTGAATCGATTGGCAATTAGCCAATGTTTTACAATACATTCCAATAATTCATATAATAAATATTGTAAATAAAGAATCTAATAAATAAATAGTGTTTATTATTTTTGTTGTCAATTCTCAAGAACAAAGAAAATGTATAAATTCACTTTCATCATATGTTTAGGTTTTATTAAAATTCTAATTTGTTTTAAAACAAATATTGGGAAGTGAAGGGAGTTAAAATAAAAATGACATCAATTGGGGAAAAATTCATTCTTTTGATGTGTATGCACGTGTTTTTTTTTTTTTGTTTTTTTTTTCAGGCACGAAGGCTAAAGATTGCCAAATAGACATATTGTACTTACTCAAATTAAGTATTGGGTACTCGGAAATTACCATAATCCTCTGTGGATAAGACACAGTGTTTTTGTTTTTGTTATTTTTTTTCTTTTTTGGTGGGGTGCTTCAGAGTTGTGTCCGATAATCTTCTGCATTTTTTAGTTTAGAACTTGATACCATTTTTATTCCAGGACTCAAAATGGACAAAATCAGGACAAATTGGATTTATTTGTTTAGTAAAGAAATAAAATCTATCTATTGGCAAGTTACAACGAATGGAATTTAATCTTTTATGTTTCTCTAAGTACCATACAGTTCCATACTTTTCCGGATTTCTTTGAGTCTAGACACCTCCATGAGTTTGGGAATCAGTCAAAGGTAAAAATATTATTTCATTTATGATAAAAAAATAAAATGATGCCTTATCACGTTTTCCTAATGCTTACGGATCACAAAAGTAAACAAAATATTTTTTTTTTTCTTTCCACTTTTTCTCTTCTTTTTCACAAGTATTAGCCATTTTTCTTTGCTCTAAAATCAGGTGAGTTTTACACATGGAAATAAGCTTTTTTTTCTTTCTTTTTTTTAAACTGTGTCTTCTACTCCCTAGAAATCTATACAGAAACAATATGTGCAAGGGTCTGCAAGATAATGGGAACGTTACAGCATCTCTGGACATATTTCTGGTCAGCTGTCTCTTAGTTTAGCCTTCCATTTCAGCTTTCTTTATACGATCGATATTTTAAGCTTTGTCTCAGTCGGGGTTTTTTTACCCTTTACCTTTTTAAGTTGATTTATTCTTATTGCGTTTCCTGCTTAATGCAGTCGTCAAATAACTAACCTTCTCCCTTCAGGCAACTGTAGCTCTCCTATCCCATATTGCTCATAGCAACATTTGTCCCTTTGTCATTCCTCCTCCCTGCCCAACCCCATTCATACAAAATCATCAGGTAGGTGATGCACTGTCTCTTCTTGTCCCTTTTTACCTTCAATATCCCTTGTGATTGTCAAATTCCCCAAGCCATCTTTCATCATAATGTCGCAAAGAAATTCCACCTGTCTCTTGAGTAGAAGTGTCCCCTTTCTTTTTCCATTATAGAACATATTTATAAATTTAACGTCTTGCTTTTATTTAAGCTTTTTTTTTTATTCTGATCCTTTAAATTCTGTGTTTGTTTTTCATTGGTCAGGTAAATCTAACGTGTGTGTGTGTACGCCCACATGTCTGAATTCTAGTTGCCATTTTCATCACAAACATAACTCCACATTTTTACACTTTCAAAATTTCTGATGAATCAAGATAAATGGTAAAACCCACTAAGTTTATAGATTTTCCTGCTTGTTCCTTATTTAATCCTAACTAGCTTGTTAACCATTAGTTTATAGCAGCCTAATCCTCACTACATACCCGACAAACATGCCCTCGGTAAATACCTTACAGTGATAGTCTGTAAGCTAGTGTCACAGATCATGATTTGAATTCAGTCCTCACAAGTACTTCATGACCTTATACCAGACATGCTTAAACTTAGTAAATATGCATGATATATAATTCTTTTATTACTGGTTTTACTTCAGTTTATAATGTTAAATTTTATTCCAACACTGACTTTGTTTGCTATTAGCTTACTACTAATTTATTACATTTGCTTTTTATTTACATAGAGTGAATTCTCTACCAACAAGTATTTCATTTATTCAGTCAGCTGGTCTCCAAAACTGGTTTTAAAATAAATACTCTAAAAACATTTTTCACTCTTAAAAAGCCACACCTGCCTTGTAAACAAGTTGACTAACCACTTTTTATCCATTTTTATCCTTGTTGAGTCATTCTTGACTGTTGTCTAATATATCTGTGACTGCATTTATTTTGAATGTAAACTTTAAAATTGTTCTTATTTATAGACTCTATTCATTCTCGGCCATCTGAATTAGATCTGATTTGCACGCACTATGTATATTGGAAAAGAAACGGTTATTATTTTTGTTTGTTTTTTTTGTGGGGGGCTTATTTGTGTTGAACAATTTTATTAATTCCTCTTTGAGACAATCATTACTGTCCTTTGTTTTTGTGACTGGACATTAATGAGTTAATCTGGATAAGTAAAAGCTTTCTTTTATCTGAGATATCATTAAAAAAAAAAATTACCTTGAAAAACCAAACAAAGGCAAAGTTTACTTTAAAATAGCAAAATGATTTTGAGTTCTAAACGTTTTTCACTTTGTATCTGATTTCATTTGTTGTGCAAAAAATTTACCCTGCCACTGAAGATGACTCTCATCACTGAACAATTTCATAGTTGTGTTGTCATATCCTACTATGGCAACAGGAAAAAATTTGAGTGAAATTAACAATAAGGATATTGCATTTGAGATTCCTTGAAAAAGAATGCAGTGGAAAGGGAAGTAATAATAATAATGCAGAGGGTTAAAAGTTAAACAAATATGTATCTAAAAAGTGGATTAACAAAAATATCTTTTTCATATTGTTTTTATTGTGTTGACATGAGAGCACAAATGTTTATGTAAAAAAAAAATAATAATAAATAAATGAAATAAATAGAATAAAAATAAAAAAAAAAACACAAAATTTTCAGTTCCTCCTGTAACCTTCATCAATGCTTGAAAATGAACAGGAGTTTTTAAACTTTTTTTTTTTTTTTACATTAGGGTTTACCCTGCACAAGGCCCAGGTTCATTTATATTGCTCTTTCTGATATTCTGAGCGTAAATATCACATTCCTTGTTCCAGTGTCTTTAACAACTCTACACTGTCCTTGTCCTATTTCTGGTCTGATTCTGCTGAAAACTCTGTTCATCAGATTTCGGATAAGTTTTATATAGTTCATTAGACTGATTATCTGATAGTTCACATTTGTTTGCAGCTGATTTCTTAGGCTGTACTATGAAATTAGATTTGCTTAGATTTGCAATCTTCTATGTTCTTTGTGTGGCCTCCCAGTAATGTTACATGGACCCCCTTTGGTCCATATAGACCCTGGTTGAGAACCACTGGTATTGAGGGTCACCAATTCAATACGGCTAGGGTTCTAAAATCAGTTTCTAACACTGCTATGGATATATTTCATATTTAGGTGTTCCTAGGATCCCATAAAACCTGACTTTATATGAAGAACCATTTATGTATCATCAAAATGGATGTGTTTTTCTCCAAAATGAAAGCAAAAAGTTGCTACCCACTGTTTTAAAATATTCGCCAAAAATCAGGGAATTATTCAATTATATTTGCCAAAAAGGTAAATTTTGGAAAATAGTTAAAAAAGTTTAAATATCAATATCTCAGTTACTTTTTCACCCACAAAGCTAAATCTATTTATTTTTTGTTTAAAGGTCAAATACGATAATTTGACTTTGGCATTTGACCATTAATTTCTCAAAAATTGTATCTTTTTAATTTGACAACAAATTTGTCTGCTTTATAGCAAGATATGTACAAAAGTTTGTGGTGGACCTTTGAATGTGACTTGAGTTACAAAGGTTTTACTGAGTTGGGCCAAATTTAAAATGGCAGATTTTGGGATTTGCTAACATTTTCATATCTCCCAATAATGTCAAGTTGTATATCTTTAGAAAACTCTTTGAATGCTGATTAATATTCACATAAGAACTATGATCATCAAATCAACAGAATTTGTGTTATTTGTTGTTAAATGTTGACAAATTTGGTAGAAAATAAACAACCTTTTTTTTTTTGTTTTTGTTTACATTTTTATTATACAACAAATAGATGTGACGTAATAAAAATAATTATTTAAAAATAAGTGACCTGAATTAATGTTAAGATAACCTAAAATAATATAAAAATATGCAACAAATGAGGTTAATGATTAACAAATTTTTGTTGACATTTGACACGGTTCACTAAATGCACAAAACAACCAAATTTTCAGTATTTTTATATATATTTAAAAAATTAAGTTTTGATTTGAAAAAATAATATATTGAAATGAATATTTAAAAAAAGGTTCTTAACATTTACAAAGATATTAATAAGCAAACCCATTGTGAAATAAAATTAACGGCTTTACCTGAGTTTTCTGAAAGTAATTCAACATCAGCTGAAGACCAGCCATAACCTTCTAGCATTTTTGTAGATAGTGAAAATGAATTGCAACTTCTTAATGAGTCACCCTCAATTATTGATTAATTACCAATGAAGTGTCAAAAGCTTGAAAAACAAACCAGTTATGAGGAACAAAAAGTAGGAAAAATTAAAGGATCAGTATTAAAGAAAATTAAATTGATTTTGACTAAAATTTCACATCAAGAATTTACCGATGTAGAAGTGTATAAAAAAAATCTAATAAAAGTGAAATTATGACACAATTAAAAGAAAAGTTTTCAGCTTGTGAAAAAAAAAGGTCCAATTTGTATCATAAAGCTCTATAAGTGTACCAAATTTGAACCGAGTATAATATAATAAAATAATATATAAATATAATATATATATATATATATATATATATATATATATATATAAATAATGGTTTTTATTTAGTTGACATGTGGAAATCACAAAATCTTTAGTTGATCCTACAATCTTCATCAGTTCTTTATAGTGAATGGTATGTTTTGTTTTGGTTTTTGTTTTAACTGGGCTACATTTCAAATCCACCAGACATTAATGGTGCAAGAAACACCAATTCTTTGGCCATGGGATTTGGTAAAGATTTTTTTTTTTTCTTTTTCCTAATGTTCAGCCAATACAAGTCCCAAGAGTTACTTAAGGTAGAGGATTACTGTGTGGAGTTGCGTAAGATTAGCATAAGAAAGGACAAGTGTTAGGAGAGTACAGAAGTGAAACAGACATTACAAGAAACTGGAAACTCAATTTTTAAACAGCAAACAAAGAATAAACTTCTACTCATCTTTAAAAAACTGGAAAGGAGCGTGAACCGGAAAATAGGAGAACCTATCTACTCCTATTATTGACGGAAAGGAAACTACAAAAAGTAAAATAAAATAGGGAATGAAATTTTAAAGTTCAGATGCAGACATTAGTAATAAAGAGCTGAAGCAGACTTTAGAAGGACCAAGAAAACTAATCCCAAAACAGAAACAAGGGATCTACTTCTACTCCTGTTCAAAAGATCCAGGAGTATGAACTGGCCGATAAGTGAACCTATCCCCTCTTGTTAAATGACCATAAGTCTATATTGTCTAGATATCTGTTGCTCAATACAGCAGCACTCCCTCCCTTGAAAATCTGTTCTTGGGTTCCTTCCACCTATCGCACTTCAGGGTCCAGTTGGTGGAAGAGAAACTATAAATTCCGTTATGGTATAATTATAAGACAATTATCTTGGATAGGTAGACTTTTTTTTTAGGGAAAAGCGATACAAGTTCAAATCTCATCAGAGGGTTTGTTTTTTTTTCAATCTGTACTGCTTACTAATGAATACAAAATGAGATTATAAGTCACTGAACAAAAAATCAACAAGATGATAGAAATACTAATCAAGTGTAATGATTTTAATACTAATCACTTGAAAATGTTTTGGCTAAAAAATAAAAAAAAACATTCAAGACTATTTAAGAGTAATATTTTGTTTTCTTTTTCCTTCTAATCAGAAAAGTCATTAAAAAGAAAAGAAACCCAACATGGCAGATTCACCTCATCAGAAAAAAAGATCATTCGCTTCACCAGCTTCATCAAATTCCACTGAAAGTTCTGAAGAAGACCAAAAAGTAGACATAAAAGAACTTGGAACATTCAGTGGCCGACAGCTTCTTGATGTCAAAACTTGGCTTACTAATCAATCTGAAGAAAACAAAATCTGGGAAGAAACAGGTAAGAAACGTTTTTTTTTTTTTTTTTTTTTTGTTCTTTTTACCTTTTTCTTTTTTCTCTTGTTTTTTTTTTTTTTCTTCCTCTTATTTATTTGTTCCCCACACCTAGTCACATTTTAGCAGGGGAGGTATTTAACAGCTTAAAAAAAAAAGCTGTTGGTAAGACATTTCTCGAGATTTCTCTTTACTCTTGAGAGAGTGACTAAAGGAAGCAGAAGATTACATCTCTGAAATGACTGTCTCTTTATGAATTCAAAGTGCTACAAGTGTGGGAAAGAAGAACATAAAAAGTCACACAGTAAAGCAAGGAAATGTCCTCACAGAAAAAATTTCATACACAGCATTGCAACAAAAAAATAATTACAGAAAACCAAAGAACATTTGTGTATGTGAAAATTAATAATGTGGATGTAAAAATGTAACTATACACTGGTAGTGATATCACAATAATTGACAAAGCTACATGGAAAGCAAACAGAAAATCTACATTTAAAAAGAACTTCAAAAATTGCATGTGGTGTGTCAGGTGATAAATTATTTTTTATTGGTGAAATTACTTGTAATGTTTCATTTCAAAACAAGTGTGTAAAAACTAAGGCTTATGTGTTAAAAAATACTGCAAACTTATTCAGTACTGACTGGATGAAATTATTTGAGTTGTGGGATTTACCTGTAAATATTTATTGCAAAAATGTAAGTTGACAAGTGAACAGTTTAAAAAATACAGTGAAAATTTAAAGGAAGAATTGAAAAAATGTTTTCCATATGTTCTGTCAGGTGAGTTGGGTCAATGTTCCAAAGTCAAAGCAAAATTTCAAGTAAAAAAAAAAAAAAAATCAGCACCCGTATTTAACCAAAACATAGTGTACCATTTGCAGTATTGGATCAGGTCAACAAAGAATTAGACAGACTTGAAAAGATTGACCACTCAAAATGGCCAGCATCAGCAGTGTATGTAAAGAAAAGAAAATGATAAAATTTGTGTTTGTCCTGATTTTTTTCTACAGGGTTAAAAAAAAAAAAAAATGTGTAGAACCCCATAACTCCCCACTACCAAGTTCAGAGGAAAATTTTCTGAATTTAAACAGTGGAAGCGTATTTGTAAATACAGGGTGAAAAAGAATATTCAGAGTTCATAACTATAAATACACACAAGGGATTGTATAAGTTCAACTAATTTCCTTTTGGGATAAAAGTGGCCCCCGGCTATATTTCAACAAGCTATGGATACCATGCTTGCAGATTGTGATTTTTGCAGTTGCTTATCTGGACAATATATTCATTAAAAGTGTATCTAAGGAACAACATTTGAGGCATCTGAAAAGAGTTTTTGAAAAAATACGAGAATACAGGTTCAAACACAGTGAGGAAAAGTGTGAATTGCTTTTGCCTAAAAATAAAGTACCTAGGACAAATCATTGACAAAACTGGTCATCAACCAGATCCGTCGAGGGCAAGTGCAATTAAGAATATGCCTCCTCCAACAAACTTTACTAGATTACAAGCATTTCTATGACTAGCAAACTATTATCAAATTTATAGACCTAATATGCAGAATTTGAGAGCTCCACTAAACAATTTGCATAAAAATGTGTAAAGTGGAACTGGACTGATAAGTGTTAGGAGACATTTGAAGAAATCAAGAAAATACTAATGTCAGACATATCATTAGTGCACTATGATCCAAAAACAGAAACCATATTAGCTTCAGATGTTAGTGACTATAGTATAGGAGCAATAATTCTACATATATATGATGACACTAACATGAAAGCCATCACACATGCTTCACATTCGCCACTACCAGTAGAAAAAAAACTACAGCCAGACTGAAAAAGAGGCATTAGCAATAATATTTTCAGTGAAAAATTTCACAAATTTATACATGGAAGGAGTTTTCATTTACAAGCAGACCAACAACCTCTTTTATTAATTTATGGTTCAAAAAAAAGGAATTCCTACGCATACAGCAAATAGATTACAATGCTGGGATACAATTTTATTAAATTATGATTTGAGAATGAAAAACTAACCATTCAAAAAATTAGGACATGCTGATGGTTTATGAAGATTGATATAAAAAAATACTGAACCATTTGAAGACAATGTTATTGCAGCATTAAAAAAAATGAAATAGAAATTAAAAATGTATTATACAATGTAGTTCGCAAACTACCACTTACCCTGGAAGGAATAAAAGTAAAAGCAGAACAAGACATGTTTATTTCAAAAATAAAATAAAAAACAACTAAAAGAAAGTAAGATAGATGATTTTTAGAACACAATCCAAACTTGAACACTTACTCTCTATGTAACAGAGTACAGATGTTTGCTAAAAGAGTAGTAATACCTATCATATTACAAAAGTAGATATTAAATGAATTTCATAGTGAACATCTGGGAATTTCAATGATGAAATCTTTTATGAGAAGCTATGTATATTAAACCAAAATGGATCAAGACAATAAAAATTTAGTAAAAGCCTGCAGAGGTTGTGCTCTGGCAACAAAATCACCTACCATGAAATTACAACCTTGGCCAAAGACAGATATTCCATGGACAAGACAGCACATAGATTTCACAGGTCCAATAAATGGATCACATTATCTTGTGGTAGTGGATAGCTTTACTAAGTGGCCCTGAAATTTGTAAGTGCAAAAAAAACAACTTCCACAGTTATGAGAGAAGGCATTCCAGATGTCATAGTCTTGGATAATGGTACACAATTCACTGCTTATGAATTTAAAGAATTTTGTAAAATGTTCTCAATTGAACATATTACTACCGTGCTGTATTACCCAAAGTCAAACAGACAAGCTGAACAGTTTGTGTGTACTTTTAAGAGAACTTTGAAAAAAAGCAAGTAATGAAAAAGTGAGCAAAGAAACACTACTAAAATTCTTGAGAGCATGACAGATAACGCTGAATCCCAATACACTGACAGGCATGTTGCCAGCAGAATTGATGTTAGCATTTAAAATGAAATCAGTGTTCAACAAAAGTTGTTACCAGGTCAAAAAAAAGATAAGAACAAAAAGGACACAAATTTTTTCAAAATTGGCAAAAAACATATTTTTCAGAGTATATAAAAATGGAAAAGAAATGTGGTAAGATGGCTAGTGATTGGCTGCTCAGTCTGCATTTTGTTTGCATTACACAGTATTCCCTAATTTAATAAAATCTGTCATATTAAATTTTTATTTTAACAATTCCAAAAGCATCCCCATGGTTTTTAAAAAAGATTTGTGACCAGAAATAATTTTCATATTATTATTATTATTATTATTATTATTATAGATTAAGTACTCAAGATCACAAATACTAAAAATAAATATTTTTAATTTTATAAAAGTCAATAAGGGGAGTCCAGTTTACCATGGAAATTTATTGTAAATTGGTTCCCCTATAGAAGCTAAAACAAAATGTGCTCAGCCAACATGATTTCTTAAAATTTTTTTTTTTTTTGTTTTTGTAAATTAATAATCTGAATTGCTTAATTGATAGCAATGTATGGACAAAGAACTCCAGATTATGAATGTCAATTTTTTTTTAATTTTTTACATTTTGAGAAACCATGTGCTATGAGTATATTTTGTTTTGGCTTTTGTAGAGGGATCAATTTAAAACAAATGAATAGAGAAAATTGGACCCCCTATAAAATTTAATGAACAAATTTTTTTTTTTTTTTTTTTTTTTTTTTTTAAGATTATTTCTGATCATATTGCCTCTTGTACCCCCTACATCCTGCCAAAGGTTTTGTTGTATTCACTTTTCAAATCATTATATTTCCAAACATTTCTGATAGCAGGGGTAGTTATGCACTTCCCACCCACGATGAGTATTCAAGCCCTGCTAAAAGTTTTGAATGTTGAGTTTAAAAGCTAGTAAATAGGCTCCCTCCATTAGGTAGATTTAGCATGTGCTAGTCCAAGTTAATATTATAAAACAAAAATAGTTGTGTATAATACAGCAAGTGGAGATCTAAAAAGTTCTCATCCCAGTCCACCTCAGACATGGGTACTGATACCAAAACCTTATCACGTTTACTACACTGGTAGTATTTATTGAAATTTTGAAAATATTTTGATACATGTACAATGTTGATTTTTCATGTTTTTAATTTTTGTTGTCGATCAAAATAAAAACAAATAAATTCAGTGTCAACAATTTAAAAAGGCAGGTTTTTTTTTATGGTAGTGGGTGGGGGTGGGGTTCACAATCAGATATTTTAAGCAGTTTCAACAACTCCTCTGAAACTGTAGACCTGTATTACAAGAAACAGCCAGAAAATAATGACCCACTGCTCTGTCATCATGCCAGGTACTCTTGTGAAATGACTCCCATAGTCCTTGATCAAAAGTGGGTACCAGGAAATTGGTACACCAGGACTTAGTCAAAATAGGTGAAACACTATTTGGTGCGAGTATTTTAGTATCTGGAGAATTAGTGAAATTTCAGAACCAAACTGATACCACATACTTTGTACCCACCCATAGCAAGTACGATCTTATTTGCTTAAAGAGTTGTCCCAAGCATGCCATCTGTATGATTCATTCCCATAATCCAAACCCTCTACTGGTCATAAGAATGCAAAACCAATTAAAAATAGCACACACCCCCAACCCCACTTGTGCCACCCACTTCCCTGTTTAGTCATTAAAAATATTGGTTGCAGGAAAATACTGGTTTTCAGCTTCTTTGTTGCACATTTTTGCACTCAAGAAATATCTTGTCCAAGAACTTAACAATAATTCTCAGCATTCATCTTGATACTATCATCCGTTTTGAATGGATTCCACAGCCTTGTGGGTGATGAATTATTTTACACCTTACAACTTCTTTCCCCACAGACAAAACATTAGCTTCTTGCTACTCTATCACTATGAGTTACATTCCTTAGGTGTACCAGTTCAAAGCTTTACAGCTAGGACCTATCATGCCACATACGTGGTCATCTCATATGCCTCAGTAATATTTACTACAAACACGGCCACAACATGC